GGGGGTGGGGGCGGGTGACAGCCTGACCTGGCCTCCGGAGCATAATCATCACTTAAACATCACAGGGGGATGGGGGGGGCGTTTCGCCTGGTCACAGTCCCCCAGAGCCTGGATCATGTTTCCCCTTCACAGATGATAACGCTGATAAAGGCTAACATTAATTGAGGGCTCCTGGCCGATGAGTGCTTCCCGGGTTTGGCTCGTGGAATTGACACCTCAGTCCCCAGGGTGGGTGGGTGGGTGGGTGGGGGAACAGTGAACGGAGGCAGGTCACAGGCAGCTACCCGCCCTGGGCGGAACCCAGACAGTCCCAGGCAGCTGGTCCGGGGGCCAGCTGAGTTGAGCAGCCAGGCTGGTGACCCGGTGTGCCCCATCCTGCAGTGACCACAGACCCCCCTCAAGATGTGCATGTGAGCCGAGTTGGGGGCCTGGAGGACCAGCTCAGTGTCCGCTGGGTCTCGCCACCTGCCCTCAAGGACTTCCTGTTCCAAGCCAAGTACCAGATCAGATACCGAGTGGAGGATAGCGTGGACTGGAAGGTGCCTACCGAGTCCTGCTTACCCACCCACCTGCCAGCCCACGCAGGCCCCAGCCCCTGCTGCTGACCATATCCTGCCTGTCCAGGTGGTGGATGACGTCAGCAACCAGACCTCCTGTCGCCTGGCGGGCCTGAAGCCGGGCACCGTGTACTTCGTGCAAGTCCGCTGCAACCCCTTCGGCATCTACGGCTCCAAGAAGGCTGGGATCTGGAGCGAGTGGAGCCACCCCACGGCTGCGTCCACCCCCCGAAGTGGTGAGCACCCCACTCCCATTAGGCCAGGGTGGTCTGGGGAGCAGTCCCAAGCCAGAGCGGTCCTCGCTCTCCTCATTTCTCTGAGAGCCAGGGGGGAGTCTCAAACTGGTGGCCCCTAAACTGAATGATGGGGGCTTGTCGTGGAATCTTTGGTCTGTCGATAGTATATATTTTTAAACCTACTTCCAGCCATATGAAAGCAGAATTCTCTAGAAAAGAATTTGTTCTCTAGAAAATTTACCAAGACAAGGCCAGTTGCTTTAAGATTGTCCCTTGGGGGGCGGGGCGGGGAGGTTCACTCTGTAGCTGTCCCATATCACCTGACCTGGGCAAACACTTGCACCTTCTCTCCTTGGGTCTCTGGTACTGTAAGTGGTTTGTACTCAATTGCAAACCTAACAGTCGGCAGTTTGAATCCACCCAGCGGCCCTGTGAAAGAAAGGGCTGGCAATCGACTTCTGTAAAGAGTATAGCCAAGAAAACGGGGTGGAGCAGTTTCACTGGGTAACACATGGGGTCACCATGCGTCAGAACCAGAGTGCAAGCCCCTTTGTGGCCTCTGCCTCACCGGGAGGCCTGTCAGTGCTAACTCTCCCTCTGAAGGGCCTCGATTTCCCCTTCTGATCAAGCAGAGGACAGGGAATGGTCTGGGGTCTGGGTCCAGCTGCCCTTGCACCCCTAAGCCTCTATGGAAGGGGGCAGTCGTGAGCAATGGGATGACATTTATAACAGGACATCTCTGGCCTCAGTTTCCTCATCTGGCAATGGGGACTAGCATCTGTGTGGGAAAGCCTGGGTCCCCTCCTCTCCCCATT